TGATGAGTGATGGCTCGTGGGTCTTGGTCCTTTATAAGAGAAAGAGAAAGACACCGATTTCAATCGCTCAACTTGAGTGCCAGCCTGGATCTATTATTCATTCCGACGAATGGCCCGCCTTCAGTATTCTCACTTGGTCTTCACCACTCTTGGATTTCAGCATGACACTGACAACCGTCAGCAACATTACGCTTCCTTAAAATTATAAATCCATACCAAATCTTCACCGAGAATATGAACGTTAGGAATTCTCCACGTAGATAGTGCAAGAAAAGATAATTATAATACTATAGCTCTAAGATCGCGTAGAGCACCTACATTATTAGAACATTACTACACATTACTGAAATAGAATCATAACGTCTTACAATGTGCATTAAATTAGGCCTTGCGAAAGACTGATATCTGACACTGTGGACAGGTATTGCGTTTCTCTCTCAAGGTTCCTCTCCTTACAGTGTTTACGTTATGTTTATCGCGTTGTCAGGGACCAGGCATGATTCAGTCAGCGAGACCTTCTGGCTCATTCCACGGATTTGTCTCCAATGTCTGTATAGTGCAATGGTTAGGCGCGCTGCAAGGCGCAAAGGGGGTTATTTCGATTTCCGAATAGGAAAGTTCTCTTTTCTCAAATAATTTCATCTTTTTTTTCTCACATTTCCCCACTTGGCCCAGGTGTGTACCGACAGGCAGGGTTGAACCAATCCGCCTCTTTTAAAGTATCGTGATTGAGTCGTGAGGATAATATATAAAACATTATTTTGATAATCAACCAATCGCGGATTTTCCAAATTGTAACGAAGTTTTCAGAACAGAAAAAAAATCACACTAAAAGTGGCTATTTAGCTAGAAAGGCATTCAAGTTTAATCTCAGAGCACAGCTTTGCTTGAACTGGTATCAAAATCTGTGTAATGAAGAATGGAATGACCCTGTTTGTCTCCTGCGTAGATTTCGATCAACCTGCGAAAACCTATCCCAAGCTAGGTATCGAAGCCGCTCTGCGTTGTCAGCCCAAGCCACGTAAAGTATTGAACTTTGACCCGTTGCCTTCGAAAAGCTCTAGAATATTGAAGAACCAGCACATGAGGAACCTGTTTCCCTCTATTTGTATCGATCGTCTTGTTTTTGTGACAGGGTGGCGGCTGTAAAAGCCCCGCCTCTACTTTGTGGGTGCGGGTCGCGTCACGGGGTTAACCCCAGGTGCAGTTTGGGCTCAAATGTACAGCGCCTGTCCGGGCATGTGGCCCAGTCCCCGCGCCATGTCTGTGTGTTTCTGTGCCTGTCTGCCTGTGTGTGACTGGAATATCATTAACGATTGAATCAGCTGAGTGAGATTGGCCAGCAGATCACTGGCGAGTGTAGACTGGTGTGCCGATATAATATTATGTCCTTGGTGTATATTTGTCACACCACTTTAAACAATGCCAATCTCTCTCTCTCTCTCTCTCTCTCTCTCTCTCTCTCTCTCTCTCT